GGTCAACAAATAGATGTTCTAAATTTTTAAAAACACCAAAATTAGCAAAATCTGGAAAGGGATATGTGTGTCGAATGGGGTTTTGTGTGTCGTTTGCTCATTTCGCGGGGTTTTGCGTGTCAAACGCTTCTCCAGGAAGTCTAAGTCCTAAAGTCTAAAGTACAGTATAGTATAGGAATCTGCTATACCCCACTGGTACTAAATTACTAAATACCACAGCCACGAAACCCACACAACCACTGGACTCACTGGACTATCTGACTACTGAACTGAACTGCTGCGACCTCACTACTACACATAAACTTTGTCTCACTCAGTTACTCAGTTGGCCTCGAGGAACACACGGATCACAAATGGAAGCACGACGTCCGTGAGACGTGCAGCTACTTCCGGGGGAGTCGGATTGGGGAGCTTGGTGATGTATGCGCGCACTTGCTTGGCGTCCACCGGGATCTTCTCTGGGTAGGCTTGGGCGTCGCACGACTTGACATATGATGAGCACCACCCTATCAGGTCCGCACAGGCCAGCACCTTCTTGTACTTCGTGGCCCAGCCAACAAGTTTCGCCTGCAAGTCCCTTGTCTGAGGCAAGGTAAAGCAGGAGCACACCTTCAAGAAGGAATCGATGTCGGTACTGACGATAGGGGGATTGTCCACGGTCAGCAACTTGCTGCCAAGCTCCACCAGCCGCCCTGCCACAAGCTTCTCGAAGTCCTTGGTGCTCCCACGACGCGTCTTGTCGCGCAACTCCTGCATTTTGTCGGCAATGTTCTCGAAAACCTGGCCACACCCCGGCTCCAAGGTCAGCTGGTCGGCCTTCAACGCTTCCTCGAAATTCTTCATCATCTGCACATGCTCCTGGTGCGTTGCAGCTGTTTTCACCACATCCTGCACCAGCCCCGGCAAAGTGGAAGCTTTCAGACCTTTCGTGAAACGGATGCCTGAGCTTAAAATCCAAGTGAGGGAAATGGACAGGAAGCTGGGATAGGGTAGAATCGGACAGAACATACTCATATATCAAGAACAGTAGTAGTAATAATAATAACATTTAGTAATAGTCATCGATACTGCTAAGAATGGTAATAAGAATGCTAGAATTAGAAAACATATCCCAGGAAGATAGAGAGATAGGTTCATAGATGGCTAGGTCAGCTAGGCAAATAGATGATACACAGATGGATTCAGGTAGATAGACTTCAGGTAGACTCAGATAGACACAGATGGGGTTTGGGGTCTAGGGTTGAGGGTCTAGAGTTTAGAGAAAGGGGTACGCACAGAGACAAGGACAGACAGAGAAGGAAAAGATTGTAAGATCGACAGACGGAAAAAGATGGAGAGACACTAAGAGAACGACATAGAAAACGACAGACAAAGAGATAGATAAAGAGACTAGAAGGATAGACTGATAGACACAAACATAGATTCAGATGGATAAAGAGAGCTCGAAGAAGAGAAGCAGACACGGACTCAGATAGAACGGCACACGGCGAGAAAGCACGCTGGACAAGTTAGTTAGGATTTAGGCTTTATAAGTTTTACTGCCTAAGACGCCTAAGAGACAGCTAAAACCCGAGATTCGGTGAAGTAATCTACTCCTGCGCAACAAACCCCAATTACCTAGTCAAATGATCATCATGCGAGGGGCGCAGAACCTTCACGCTGGGATCAGAGCCACTGTACTGCATGAAGTAGTCCAGGTCACTGTGGCTCACGGCAACGGCGGTTGGGATCTCAAACAGGAATGCTGCGCATCTGCAAACCTGACCCATCTTCTCATAGAAAGGGCCCAGGGCTTGCCCATACTCGTCGTGCTGGAAGAAGTCTTGGGCCTCCGTGGTGTGAAGGAGGGACAGCATGTCGACCACCAAGCGCGTCAGGTAGTCCAGGCCACCCTGGATGTTTGCGGCATCTTCAATCAAGTTCATGAAGAGCTGGCTTCCGGCAATCTCCCGCAGAATCGTCTTGGCTTCCTCCGCAATTCACAATGATTACTTTGATTATTTCCTCAGTTCTACCTGCTACTTACTTGCTACTTAAATTGCTTGCTGCTAGCTGCTAACGGTTAATCATACGGTTAATCATTAATCATTGTAGTTGCGATTGGCACTCCAACTCTCCGGCTACCCCTGCTACAGCTGCTACATGGATGAGATGGACCCTTCAAATTTGCCTGCTCTAGACTGACTCTAGGCCCTCTGCCCAATGCTTTCGGCCTATGCATCAACCTTGGTCTAGTTAGGACCTAGCCCACTGCCCGAATGTGTCCTCCATGGGCGTCTGCTTTCTAGCCTTTTTGGCAGGCCGCTTAGCGTCTGCTTCCGCATCCTCTTCTGCAGCTCCCTCCAGCAAGGAGAACAGATCCGCCCCCTCACAGACAGGCGCAACGCTGGCCTTCATAGCTGCGAGGACTGGCGCCAGGCTGGCCTTCGTGTGGTCCAGGAGCTTCAGCTGGGCCGCCTCCTCTGACCACAAGTCCAGGCGAAGCACGAAGTCCGTAATCATGTCAAGCCTTTCCTGCGGCTTGTCTGGAGCGGCTCGGAGGATATTCTGTATGTCTTCTAGAAGCAGGCGGCCGGTTAAACGCACGGCCAGCTCGTGGGGAAAGTCCTGCACATAATCCTGCAGCATGACCAAGTGGCCCACGAGGGTATTGTGCGACAGCTCCGCCCTCGACGACAATGCTGCTGCGGCCTTGCACAAGGCGATCCGCGACTCCAGTATCTCATACTGGACCTCGTCCCCCTTCAGGGAAGGGAGCGCTCGCTCTGCCTTGGAGTTCAAGAGGGTGAAGTTTAGAGTCTAAGGCTTAGACATGATTCGTGAGTGGAGGGTGAACTGGGGACAAATTCATTCTCTGTACTCTCCACCCAGAGCCAACCATTGCAAAGGGTTTAGGGCTTAGGGTTTAGGGCGGCGCTGACAGGTAGGGCTGAACAATTTAACACATTTGTTCCGTCGCAGCCACAAACAACGTCTCTCTTGCATTACGAACAAGAAATGAGGCGGGGCGAACTGTCCAACGGCCAATAACATTCTTCCGCTGACGACATGACTGTGACGGTACAACAGCAAGTCTTGGTACCACAGCTAGCAGTTATCACTCTGCACGCGGAGCCTCCCGGCTGATCGCAGGGCTACTACAGTTACTACAGTACACAGTGATACTCAGTAAGGCTAAGGCTCGTGCTTGGGGCCCTCAGGGGTTAGGCGACCGATGTTTCTTCACAAACGTTCGAGTCTACCTTCACTATTACCCTGAGACAAGTGACAAGTATAGGCCCAATAACCGATACCCATAATCCATAAGGCTACGGGCAATACACCATCAGCTTGTACTACTTACTACTTACGCCCTGCACCCCACAAGGCCTACAACCTAGACTAGACTCACGTGGACCGCAAGCAGCAAGCAGAACAAAATGCACTGCACCAACCACCACCAAATAATGTTTAACCCACAGTATGATACGGATTGGATAACGACACTGACTCTGACAGTGACGTCAACATAAACTCCCACGTCTGACTATCTAACCAACCACGGCAACGGCAAGAGCGCAAAAAGATCTACAAGCGCAAGAACAAACAGACTTGGCGCTACCGCTACTTACCGCTACTTTGGCTACCAGTGACTATTGACTATTGACTATTGAACATTGTCCCTGCAAGACTGTGATCTTCAAGGCTCAATGGCTTAATCATCATGAATCCTTAAGCCTTAAGCCATAAGCTCAATTTGGATAACAGCCATGCTGGAAGTCCTCGCCCCCGTTAAATGACATATAAGTAAGCCGCAAGAAGTAAGCGACGGCGTACAACCATACTGAACTCAACTCATGGGAATGCTGAGTCGGCTGAGTCGTGGACGCCGGTCACAACTTGAGCCTGCCCCTCTCCACGTAGAAAGACAGACACGACCAGGGCGTGGAAGACGGTCGTCGCCTTGCCTGTGTTTCTCTTGTGGGTCTTGGCGACGTCTTCCATCTCCACATCCACCTCGCCCTCGTCCATGTCTGACATGGGCTGATCCTCCTCCTCGTCGGCGGCCACTTCCTCCACCGAGGGCTGCTGCTTCTTGCCGCCCGACTTTGCTTTGCCCTTCGGCTTCTTGGCGGACTTGGCCCGGGGGTCGTCCTCCTCGGCCTCCTTGCTGGGGTCAGCCACCTTTTCAGGAGCTTTCAATCTCCCACCGTAGCCATCCTGGTCCTCCTGGTCCGAGGTTTCCTTGTCACTGCACCCGTCTTCGCTTCCCTGCTCGGAATTTCTCGCGGCAGCCTCTCGCTCCATCACCTGGCAAGGCGAGGGCGTATTAAATTATGGGGAAGGGAGTCTGTGTTTACAGTTTACTGTAGCCTCGTGCCTACTAGTCTTGGTCATTCTCTCAGTACGAGAAAATGCGCGTTGGCCGTCTAGAGTCTATACTTGTCTGGTATTGGCCGATGCATTCAATAGCAGCTCGTAACCCTAGCCTCCCCTAGCCTTAGCCAGTAAACTTCAAACCTCGAGGCCTACGTCCCAACCGTGGAGCCCTATATGCGAATATACGTTAACCGTTCACCGGTACCGTTGCTAAGCTGCTAACCTTTTACCGGGTTTGAGGTTCAGGATTTAGGGCACTGCTGAACCTCAACCTTTGAATGCTCAACGTTACACGCCACTACCTGTTCGTAGCCATTTGCCCTAGGCCCTACTGGCCCTATATGTGTGATCCTTGACCTCCTTAACCGTTCAACGAACTACGGAGGCACAGTCCTAGTTCCTACATTACAATCATTACAAGTCACAAGTCTTGGTGTCTAGGTACTGGGAGCCCCACGCATACTGCGATCAAAAAGGGCCCTGCACGGATATTATTTGCTATGTTTAGGAAAGCCTGGATGCATTTGGCAACTCTGAAACCTGCTCGCGTTCGTGCTCATCTTTTTCGGTTAGCTGAAGACACTCCTCAAAGTCCACAAGGCCACGCCTACTCTTCACGGCTTGGCTTTCCTTCTCCTTGCCATGCTGCCATTGCCAAGTGGCAGCTGCCTGCTCCTTGCTCAATTGCTCATCCCGGGACAGCCATTGCGTGTCCCAGTAGACGGTTGCCTTGTAGAAGGTGCGCAATTTCCGGATAGACAAGTTCACGGCATCAGGCATGCCTTTCAAGCCAATTGCCCACATCTTCTTGGGTTCCAGGTCCCTTTCCGTGGACACCTTCACTTCCCTCAGCCCAAGCTCCTTGGGTGTGAGGCCGTTGAACAGGGTCTTCGCATCCTCGTCCGTGAGCAGGCCCACGTCCCAGTAGACCATGGTACCTGCGTGCGACACGTGTCTTTGACTTGTGCTATTATTGTTGCTGTTGCACAAAAATCATATCAGATATCAGGAACGACATCAGCTGTTGAGGCTGTGGCTGCCACCCTCCCCAACCCCCCCTCATGCTCAGTCTTATAGTATTATTACAGCAGCCAAGAAAACTCTTGCTACCGGCTACACTGCTGTAGACTCTAAAGGGGCTAGTCCTATAGACTTCTAGTGAGTGACTCTAATGACTCGCACAGTCTTGGCGAAGCTACGGACCTGAATCAAATCAAGGTACCAGACTCCTGCAGCTGCCCGAGTCACTTGCTGGGCGGAAGAACGGAGCAGCGTCTGGCGCGGCTTCCTTGAGGCCACTCAAGATCTTCCGGCCGCCCTTGATCTGCGACGCCACAGAGCGTCCCTCGTCGGAGTTCTGCCCAACAAGTACGACAACCTGCTCAAAGGTCTTTCCGGGAAACAATCTGGTCGTCAGCGTCTTGCATTCTAGACACCCCCCGCCAGTGGGGTGGCCATCATTGTTCGTTGGCCAGGGCGTGTCCTGTCAGAGGCTAGGCTAGCAAAGTGCACGTGCAAGCATGGTGCGCCTAGAGTCTAGAGTCTAGAAGTCTCCAACAACAGAAAATCACACTTTTCAAAGGCCCTACGGAAACAGTGAAATTGTCGCCTTTTTACTGCCAGTGCTATTGACTATTGACTATTGATTGCCGACCCTAAAACGTCAACCCTGACACCTAGCACCCAGACCTTCAACGTGACAATTGAAAACCCCGGAGCAAACTCCAAAGCCTGAAGCCTAGACCTGCCACGAACCATCAAACCCTTGAATCCTATAACATACCTTGCTAGGTCTGCAAGGTGAGGAGTTGAGTTGCCAAGCCTTGCCCGGAGCCTTCATGCAAATGCCGCAGACCAAGCCAGACTTGCCACGTGAGCCGGACCCTGCCGCCATCTTCGATGAGGAGCGGCCCCCATCCGAAGCCGCCAGCCTCGCTTCGGAGTCTCTGGACAACTTCGCCAAAGCCTTCTTTTCAGGCTTGTCTGCTGCAGCAACCAGCTGGGTCTCCTGCTTCAAGCAATCAATATGAGCTGGAGCAAGACCAGCCCCAACAGAACAAGTTGATGCTGCTGTGAACACGACCCCTAGCAGCTAGCAATCACGCGCGCAAACATGTAAGCCATGAGAACTGTGCGGCCACGGACTACTTGCAAACAGCGAAAAAGCATGTCTCTGCCGTGAACGCTCTAGGTCGTTACCGCTACCGCTCGAAGCTAGCAGCCGGCACCCCCTATTGGTTGCCCTCTCCTGGTTCTTCTTACTCTGCCTGCCCATCTTGGGCAGCAGGACAAGAAGGCTGCTACAAAGTTGGCTGTTGGCTGCTTGGCAGGCAACTGTACGTGCAAAGCCTGCCGAGCACTAGCTATCAAGCAGTCTCGATCTTGATCCTCATGGTCCTCATGCATGTGCAAACAGACAGGTCACAAGTTACGCAGTAGCTGAGCCTCAGCTGAGCATCACCAATAGGAGAGAGACTCCACGCAAGCAGTGACTGCAAGACTAAGACTGAGACCACTCACTAGCTAGTAAAGTACGTATTACCGGAGACACTGGATTGGATGTAGTAATGTAGTGAATGTAGTAGGTACTAGTACTTAATAGTAGGAGTTAGTTAGCTAGTCGGATTCAACCGTAACGAGTTGAATTGCGAGCGTGGCAAGGGCCTGCAGTGTAAGGGCCTACACTGCCTACAGAGCCTGCAGGCTAGCTCAAGCAGCCCATCTTGGTAAAATCCTGCCCAAAATGCCAGAATCTGCTGTGCGTGGGACGAGCAGTAGACAACCAAGCACATTCATTTCAGCAGCCAGAAGTGCTCCCGATCTGGTCTATGCAGTTTATTGCTGTCAGCAACTGAGACAGTAGTCGCCTCCTAAGCCGCACACTGCACAAGCGACTGAAGCAGGCTATGCCTTGTTAAGGCAGAACTTGCTTCCTGGCGAAGTCTAAGTTCTCAGCACAACTTACCGCTGAGGAAGATGGACCATACAACCAGGGCTAGTGGGGGGAGGGAAATCCCCTCCCCGGCGATGTGCCTCAGATCTGTCTCCTTCATCTGAGCTGGCAAGACGGTCGCCTGAGAGTAACCTTGGAGAAGCAAGTGTTCGCGCGCTGTCAGAAAGCGCTGCTGCGCGAACGTCCACAAAGAGGAGCTGGTTGTGAGCGTCCGGACCACAGGGCCTCTGTTGAAGGGTCGCCTCTTGTGACTCTGGGAGAGGTCGGCCACGACATGGCTCAAGTGCTCCGCAACATCCCGCTCTGAGATGCTGCTACCTACGCGGGCTCTCTTGGTCCGCATCTGTTGCATCGCGATGCAGTCCAGCAAGTCACGAGCCCTCTTGGACGAAGGCAGCTTGCTTGCCGGCACAATCGAGGTGTAGGGGTCGCACGTGGCTGTCACACGCAGCTCTTTGCGCCAAGTTAAGGAGTCCGCCTTCCATAGGCCAGCTTTCGAAGAACATTCTCGTCCTGCTGCAGCTTCGGCTGCCTGGCAAGCAACCCGAGTAGCACGAGAACGACAACTGCAACTTGCTATCTTCCAGTATGTCACTATGTGACTACGACGATGACTACCACTTGTTTCATGGCAATTTGCCTTTTTCTTCATGTGGACAACCCGCTTGTAGCCTAAAAGTCTAGGTCTAGGCTCTAGATTATGAATAGCGGCTAGCGTCTGGGGCCTAAGGCTTCTAAGGGATTCTAAGGGCTGTGTGGATGTTCAGAAGTCATACTTGTTTGCTTGCCCGAGCGGTCCTTCTGCCCGGCGTACTACTGGCGTAGCTGGCATATAGCAGTACGAAATAGTAACACTTACTAGTACTTGGTTGGCACTGCGACTACTGCTGTTGCGGGTACTGGTAACTAGTACTAGTTACTAGTACAACAACGCCTACTACGTTGAGCTAGCAAAGGTGGTAGTGGTGGTTGTAGTAAGTAGGAGTAGTAGTAGTAATAAGTAATAAGTAATAAGTAATAAATAATAAGTAGTAGTAGTAGTAGTAGTCGTCGTCGTCGTCGTCGTCGTCGTCGTAGTCGTACTTGTAGCAGTAGCAGCAGGAGCAGGAGTAATAATGGTCGTCGTCCTGGCTGTCGTTGTCGTCGTCAGCATGAACCTAGTCGACCTAGCCGACCTAGAAGGACATAGACCTAGCCTAGCCTAAACCCAGCCGAGCCCGAGGTAGAAACACCTGACCTTCCAGCTTTACCTGGGCTCCATGACGTTCTTTGCCGCTCGCGAAGCTCGAGCAGCTCAGCTCGGGCAGCTTCGAGCCGCTCTTCCGGCCCGCTCGCAGAGCCCGCTCACAGACCCCGCTCACAGTGAGCGGGGTCTGTGAGCGGGGTCTGTGAGCGGGGTCTGTGAGCGGGGTCTGTGAGCAGGGTCTGTGGGCGGGCCGCTCACAGACCCCGCTCACAGACCCCTCTCACAGACTTAGGAGCCGGTTCTGGTGGCTTTTTCCCTTAGAACGGCTGCAAAACCGGGCCGTGGTGGCTTTTTGCCTTAGAACGGCTCCAAAACCGGGCTGCCGATTCTGTGAGCGGGGTCTGTGAGCGGGCCG